CTATAGGACAATGTCTGCATTGCAGTTATTTTCTGCATCTTCAGGATTGGTGCAGTTTTCATGGATCCTGTGATGAGTCTAAGAGCTTGATTTTGCACTCTGTCTAACGATTGTAGGTGGGAATTAGCAGCTGTTGACCATGCTGTTGCACCAAACTCCAAGTGGGGTCTTATCGCTCCATTATAAACTTTCTTTAGGGTTTTTCCATTTGCTCCCCATCCTGTACCTGCCAATTTTCTAAGTAGGCCTAGTCGTCTCCTGGCCTTCCCTTCTACATTTTCTATATGTTTGCTCCATGTGAGCCTTTTATCAAATGTTACTCCAAGATAAGTGGGGAAGCTTTCTTCCTTTAGCAAGGATGTTCCTAGGTGAATACTAGCAGCTTTGTCCCTGGTGGAAAGAGAGAAAAGCGTTGTGGATGTTTTGTCTGTGTTTGATGGCAACATGCCATTTTTCTGCCCATGTCATCAAGAGATCTGCTGCTCGCTGCATTCTTATATTTGCCACTGTGGTGTGTTCATCGGTACACCAGAGTGCCAGATCATCTGCATACAGGGCAGCTTTTACTCCTGTAGGGAGGTCTTTCACCAGATCATTTATATACACAAGAAAGAGAGTTGGAGAGATAACTCCTCCCTGTGGTACTCCTTGCCGAAGTAACACTTTTCTACTCTGCTGGCCATCAAGACTGACTCTAGTTCTTCTGCTGTGTAAGAAGGATTGGATCCATTTTAGCATGTTTCCTTGGATTCCATTTCTCTTCAGTTTTGCAATGAGACCATCTTTCCAGACTTTGTCAAAAGCTTGTTTGAAGTCAACCCATACCGCCAGGACCTCTTCTCTTGGAAGGAATCCTCTACAGCTTGTGACAGGTAGGTGACTTGATCTTCTATGGTGTGACATTCCCTAAACCCAGCCTGCTCTGGCACCAAGATCTGCTCAGATTCTAAGTGCCATTTCAGTCTTGAATTTACAATTCTTTCCAATGTCTTTCCTACACAGCTTGTGAGACTAATTGGGCGATAGCTCGAAGCCTGTGTCTTAATTTTTCCTTTTTTTAAAATGGGTATTGTGATGGCTTCTCTCCATACTTGAGGCACTAAACCTTTCTCCCAGCTGATGTTGAAAATTTCCAGCAGCTTTACTTTAGCAGATGAGGTCAGGTTGATTAGCATTTCGTTGCTGATTTCATCCGGACCTGCAGACTTTTTTAACTTAAGCCTAAAGATGGCATTTTGTAGTTCACCCATGGTAAATGGCTCCCTCATAGAGGCAGGAGTATCTGTCTGTCTCTTATTTGTTTGTTTGCTTGTTTGTATTTCTTTCCTTATTTCTCTCTGATGGTCCTCATTAAGGGTCAGGTTGCTTTCAACACTGAATGTTTTGGCAAACAAATCTGCAGCTTGTTTTCCTCTGAAGATTTTGTCACCATCACTTAGCGTGATTGTTTGTCTAGGCGAGAAACTCTCTTCATTGAGTGATTTGGCTAATCTCCAGAGTTTCTTGCCATCTTTATCAAGGTTTAGAGCTGCTGTTTTATTTCTCCAGCTTTTCCGTTTTTCTTCAAGTTTAGTTCTCTGGAACACTGCTACAGCCCTTTTCCATTTGATGTGGTTGTCAGGTGAAGGTTGGGATTCTGCATCCTTTCTAGTCTGATTCATTGTTTCCTGGCATTCCTGGAGTGTGCTGGACCAGTACGGTCTATAGTTGTGTCGACAGCCTCTGGGGATTGCTTCTTTTGCAGCTTGTAGAATACTTCTATTGAAATCGTGCACTATAGCATTGATATCCCTATTTTGTACCTTGAGAGCAGACAACAATGTGCTTGTCCTGTGTCTGTACAGGCCCCAGTTGGCTTTCTTGTAGTTCCATCTTGTGATGACTGGGCCTGTATTAACTGGTACATTCTGGACAGTGAGAAAAATCGGGCGATGGTCACTGCCCCCAAGCTGGTCTCCCACCTCTCTACTTATCATTCCAGATATATCTGGGGTAGAGAAGGCAAGATCTGGGGTCGACGTTGTCTGCCACCTTCTGGAGTAGAAGGTAGGCGTATCTGAGGGGGCATTTATCAGGATCAGAGAGTGGTCATCTTGCCATGTTTCCACCTCTTCACCCCTATTGTCGAGATGGTTATAGCCCCAGCTCTGTGAATGACTGTTGAAGTCTCCAACTGCAATAAAGTTGGTGTTTGGTACTGGCACAGAGCTGAGGTTTAGCGATTTGTCATTGGGACAGTAGTAATTAAGGAGTTCTAATTCCACTTTGTCTGTCTTAAGCTGCAGGAGTTGGTACTCAGCTCCATCCATATAAGACATTTTCTCGCATGGATGGATACTGTTTTTCACAAGGGTGAGTACTCCTCCTTTTCGCCTGCCTTGTCTGTCAGATCTGAAGCACTGGTAGCCTCTCACTTTAAATATCTGATCTGCCTGCAAATGGGTCTCTTGGATGCAGCATACACTGACATGCTTTTCACAGAGGATGTTTTCCAGCTCCAACTTTTTGCTGTAGCCAGCCTGCTTACTGCTGACCCCCTCTGCATTCCAGTGCATAATGACAAAAGGCAATTTGGGATCTTTTCTGTCTAACTGGTTTTGGTCAGTAGCTATCCTCCGCCGTCTCCTGACTCCACAAGACGGTCTAGGATGTCCTCCAGTAGCTGGGGGTGGATTCTGTCGAGGCTCAGAACCCGGCACTGCACCTGCCTGGTGGAGTTCCACAGGGCGAGCACCAACATTAAATTTGTCTGACGGTGTAAACATATATATAGCGTGGGGTTGCGTAGTACTGTGGTTTTTGATCCGCCTTCTGGCCCAGTATTTCCGACTTCAGGATCTCTTGGGAGGGAGAGTAGGCTCATCCCTTCGCCTTTACCTCGTTTGTTGTCCCATCCAGTTTCCCGCTGGGGGTTAAGACCCCAACCTTCAACTGGATTGCTGGGAAGAACAGGGTCCACCACGTGAAGGTGAGGTAGGCTTGAGCAAGAGAGGCTAATAGACATTAAGAGTCTTGTATTGCGCATCATTGCTCCATTTGGACCCCATCTCAGATCTAGATGTCAGTTCAGTGAAAACATCTCAGATCTAGATGTCAGTTCAGTGAGAACATCTCAGATCTAGATGGCAGTTCAGTGAAAACATCTCAGATCTAGATGACAGTTCAGTGAGAACATCTCAGATCTAGATGGCAGTTTAGTGAGAACATCTCAGATCTAGATGTCAGTTCAGTGAAAACATCTCAGATCTAGATGGCAGTTCAGTGAAAACATCTCAGATCTAGATGGCAGTTCAGTGAGAACATCTCAGATCTAGATGGCAGTTTAGTGAGAACATCTCAGATCTAGATGGAAGTTCAGTGAGAATATCTCAGATCTAGATGTCAGTTCAGTGAGAACATCTCAGATCTAGATGGCAGTTCAGTGAGAACATCTCAGATCTAGATGTCAGTTTAGTAAGAACATCTCAGATCTAGATGTCAGTTCAGTGAGAACATCTCAGATCTAGATGTCAGTTCAGTAAAAACATCTCAGATCTAGATGGCAGTTCAGTGAGAACATCTCAGATCTAGATGTCAGTTTAGTGAGAACATCTCAGATCTAGATGGCAGTTCAGTGAGATCATCTCAGATCTAGATGGCAGTTCAGTGAGATCATCTCAGATATAGATGTCAGTTCAGTGAGAACGTCTAAGATCTAGATGGCAGTTCAGTGAGATCATCTCAGATCTAGATGTCAGTTCAGTGAGATCATCTTAGATCTAGATTTCAGTTTAGTGAGAACATCTCAGATCTAGATGTCAGTTCAGTGAGAATATCTTAGATCTAGATGTCAGTTCAGTGAGATCATCTCAGATCTAGATGTCAGTTCAGTGAGATCATCTCAGATCTAGATGTCAGTTTAGTGAGATCATCTCAGATCTAGATGTCAGTTCAGTGAGATCATCTCAGATCTAGATGTCAGTTTAGTGAGAACGTCTCAGATTTAGATGGCAGTTCAGTGAGAACATCTCAGATCTAGATGGCAGTTCAGTGAGAACATCTCAGATCTAGATGGCAGTTTAGTGAGAACATCTCAGATCTAGATGTCAGTTCAGTGAGAACATCTCAGATCTAGATGGCAGTTTAGTGAGAACATCTCAGATCTAGATGTCAGTTTAGTGAGAACATCTCAGATCTAGATGTCAGTTCAGTGAGAACATCTCAGATCTAGATGGCAGTTCAGTGAGAACGTCTCAGATCTAAATGTCAGTTTAGTGAGAACATCTCAGATCTAGATGTCAGTTCAGTGAGAACATCTCAGATCTAGATGGCAGTTCAGTGAGAACATCTCAGATCTAGATGTCAGTTTAGTGAGAACATCTCAGATCTAGATGGCAGTTCAGTGAGATCATCTCAGATCTAGATGGCAGTTCAGTGAGAACATCTCAGATCTAGATGTCAGTTCAGTGAGAACATCTCAGATCTAGATGTCAGTTCAGTGAGAACATCTCAGATCTAGATGTCAGTTCAGTGAGAACATCTCAGATCTAGATGTCAGTTCAGTGAGAACATCTCAGATCTAGATGGCAGTTCAGTGAGAACATCTCAGATCTAGATGGCAGTTCAGTGAGAACATCTCAGAGAATTTCAGTCAGTTGTTCGCTGATGTACAATACCTAGACTTCTCAGATAATGACAAGTGGTGGGTATAAGAATTAGCGCTTCTGTTGGAAAATAAAATCATTTTGCCCATTAAGGTTTTGATCCTGGCAAAATAGGTCAGAATCATTGAGAATGTATAATTTCTTTAATTGACAATGTATAATAATAATTTTGTTAATTGCAATTTAGTTCAGAATGATAGACAACGTATAATGATATTTACTTTAATGGAGATATAGTTCAGAATTGTAGACAATGTATATTCTCTTTAATGGAGATATAGTTCAGAATGATAGACAATGTATAATGATATTTTCTTTAATGGAGATATATCTTTGACACAACAATCTCTTGTACAGCTGACCCAGATACTGGGAGTACACTGACCTCGGGTACCTCTACTATCGTCCTCATCACATCCATCATCGCAGGCGTCTGCTTGCTGCTGCTTCTGTGTGCACTGTGCTTCATTTTGTGCTGGAGGAGGAAGAGAAGAAGGAGAAGGTAAGTTCTGCATATCAGAAACAAGCACACAGCTGTGAGAATGAGCTACACACAAAAAATACACATCTGTGTAAATAAACCATATAATAAAATATACCAGCTGGCTGTGGTGCCTCTTTGGCTTTTCCTTCATGTTTGTTACTTTAACGCATTATCCAATCATAAAGTGTTGTTGTAGGGACACTAAACTACACATTTGATTTTCTGGTACCTGTTTTATGTGTTTGAGTCAACCTTTAGAGCAGCAGTTCCAGCCTTTTTCAAGTCATGACCCATTTTTTAGAGGCAAAGTGACCTATGACTCCATACATTAACAATAAGCTTTTTTATAGTGTCAGTGGGAAAACATCAAAAATATATTTCTCTCAGTTTAACATAATTCAAAATAATGTTAACTTATGACATAGTTCATCTGAATATTAAAACTGCAACTCATTAACAAGCTCACAAACAGATTGTTTATCTTGCTGCCCACAAGAAACTAGTCTAGGCACTCCGCATACATGTCACACCAAGAATCTCAAGTCAAACAGCACCTGAAAATCACAAATAAATATTTCTGCAGGAGGCGATGTAATTTTTAGGTACTTCTCTTTTAGTTCACTTGTGTCTTCAGTTTGTGCCATCCAAGACCTTCCTCTTCTCAGTCTGTGACTGTTAGCTCTACCCAGGGCTTCATGCAGGAGGTGCCTCATGTCCGCAGCTACTCTGAGATATGACTTTGCTTGCAGAACTTTGAGCCTATCCGAGTAGTAGGCACTGCAAATATTTGTCTCATACATACTACCGGGGTATCTCTTGTACATCCCATTATTACCCCCCCCCCCCCCCCCATGATCCATTGTGTATGTGTTCAAGATACATCATCTGACTCTTTGATACTGTAAGCATTCCAAGTCCATAATCTATCACCAACAGGAACACATGTTGGAACATTGGGAACAGCATTCTTTGGTCTATGTCCATTGCTGCCACAATCTTGACAGCACTGAGTCCTTTTTGGTATGTCACCGTAACTGCCTCCATGTGATCCCTATAGGACAGGCTTTTATTAAAAGTAATACCCAGGTACCTCAGTTTGCTTTCTCCTTTGATGGACCAAACTACAAGAGACTAATATAATGCTTTATAGGGCCCACAGTTGTGCGGTTCCGTGGCGTAGGGGTTAGTGATTGCAGTTAACAATGCCATGGTCCTCGAACACAAGGGATGGGTTTTTTTTTTAACTGTTAACCTGGTTTTCAGAAAATGTTATGAGAGTCACACTGTAGAAAAGATTAAGGACTCACCAAGTAGTATTCCTAAAGACACCAGTGGTAGACTGTAGCCAACCTGTATTGTGGAGGTGGCACAGATATTAATGAAGGAACAGTCAAAGCTAAGAAACACTTTCTCAAAATGATTTTCAAAACTAAATGTATCAGTTCAGAGGCTTGATAAAACCATGCACTATAACTATGTTGAAATGTCCCTTGTGTTCTAATCAGCTTGTGCAATTGTTAATTTATTCCTTTATTCAACAGGCGAAAGACTCCAGAAGACACCTTGAGCAGTTTCTCTGACAGTGCTAGCACAGCCAGCAGTCTGAAACCCCCACAGCCTTATTTAGGTTATGCTGTTCCATTCTACATACCTCCACCCCTCTCAGTAACCAGTGCAGGAAAAGATGCCCCAGGTTCACGTCTGGCTCTAGAATTTTATAAATCCAAGCCTGGATCTGGTTCCCTTGACCAAGATGTGATAAGTGCCTCCATGAACTTGGCCGAGGAAGACTTGTAGAGTTACCCTCAATAACGATGTGATTAGCATGTTTGTGAACTTGAAGGAGGAAGATTGTAGAAGTGGCAAGATATATTCTTGTTCATTTTTCAACATTGATCCAAGTCAGCTCAATTGTTACCAAAGAGACTATCATGTGTTGAATAATATCTGTTAATGTCTATGAGGAAACATTTTTTATTTTTTTATTTTTTATTTTGACTTTTAACAAAAGTATGTACACAAAAGCATCACTCATAGAACAGACAGCAGTCGCCCACAAGATCCCACCCAAACTTTAGTCATTGTATATTGTTTATTGTTTATTTGAAGATCATCATCAGCACACATCGAATGTGAGTGCTCAGGAAAGCACTATTTATTGTTAGACTCTGCATAGGGCACTTCAGATTATAAGACCATATCTACAAATTAGAAGCTGCACAAACTGGCAAGAAACTTGTCGAACCCATGTGGGTTCCCAGGCCCCATTTTGAAAGGGAAAAAAAGAAGAGACCCACTGCACTCCTAACAGGCATGTCATAAGTGGCAACTCATCAAGTGTGTTGGGCCAAAAAGTTCAGATATCTCAGCCTATATGCAAACCACAGCACAACGTGCCAGCCACTCTTTTTCATGGTGTATGCAGAAGAAGAAGAAGAGCAGAAGCAGATAAAAGAAGAAGAGGAAGACAAAGAAAAAAAAAATATAAAGACCCATTAAAAACTGTTTCTCTGGCTCCAGGAAAAGAAAATACTGCAGATGTGACCTCTGTTTATTGACCTTGAAAACCAACACCCAGCCCAGAAGACTTGTCTTCCTGCTTACCCTTCACTGGCTGTAAACTGTGGTGGAAAGTTCTGGTTGTTTGGCCACTTCTGGACAGTCTTGTCCCAGCATCTGTTTTACACATCCCGTTTATTGTAGATGAAGGTCAAGGAAAAACTGGGAGGCATTCGATATAACTTCCTGCTGTTGAGTGAATTCCAAGAGATATTAGAGCCCTTTGTTTGGACTACGAAGCACAGGATGTTTGCTGCAGAGAAATGTATTTTTAAATTAATTGTATGCTCATCCAACATTGATACATTCATTTATAAAAATGTGTTCACAATGAAACAAATAAATGTAAGAGACTGTGTTATCACTGAGCATACCTCAATCACAAAATAATCAAAATCTGTGGTAATCAGTAATGGCTTTGTTCACAAACAATGACTTGACACATATGTTTCCTAAAAATTTAAAGGTGTTGTCACAAATCTTTGGTAATTTACTCCTCCTCATTTTTCTCCTCCTCTTCTTCTTCTTCTTTCTCCTCTTTTTCTCCTCTTTCTCTTCTTCCTCCTCCTCATCTTCTTCTTCTTCTCAGACCTTCAGACATCAACTTTAAAACATTTTTGAAAAAGCAGCAGAAAGCCTCAAGCTGCTGACACCTCCATCCTAAACATCTTCTTGCTCATGTCTAAAGTCAAGGACTTTGGTTGCCATCTTCTTGCTCATGTGTAATGTCAAGGACTTTGGTTGCCATCTTCTTGCTCATGTGTAATGTCAAGGACTTTGGTTGCCATCTTCTTGCTCATGTGTAATGTCAAGGACTTTGGTTGGCATCTTCTTGCTCATGTCTAAAGTCAAGGACTTTGGTTGGCATCTTCTTGCTCATGTCTAAAGTCAAGGACTTTGGTTGCCATCTTCTTGCTCATGTCTAAAGTCAAGGACTTTGGTTGCCATCTTCTTGCTCATGTCTAAAGTCAAGGACTTTGGTTGCCATCTCCTTGCTCATGTGTAATGTCAATGACTTTGGTTGTCATCTCCTTGCTCATGTGTAATGTCAATGACTTTGGTTGCCATCTCCTTGCTCATGTGTAATGTCAATGACTTTGGTTGCCATCTCCTTGCTCATGTGTAATGTCAATGACTTTGGTTGCCATCTCCTTGCTCATGTGTAATGTCAATGACTTTGGTTGCCATCTCCTTGCTCATGTGTAATGTCAATGACTTTGGTTGCCATCTCCTTGCTCATGTGTAATGTCAATGACTTTGGTTGCCATCTCCTTGCTCATGTGTAATGTCAATGACTTTGGTTGCCATCTCCTTGCTCATGTGTAATGTCAATGACTTTGGTTGCCATCTCCTTGCTCATGTGTAATGTCAATGACTTTGGTTGCCATCTCCTTGCTCATGTGTAATGTCAATGACTTTGGTTGCCATCTCCTTGCTCATGTGTAATGTCAATGACTTTGGTTGCCATCTCCTTGCTCATGTGTAATGTCAATGACTTTGGTTGCCATCTCCTTGCTCATGTGTAATGTCAATGACTTTGGTTGCCATCTCCTTGCTCATGTGTAATGTCAATGACTTTGGTTGCCATCTCCTTGCTCATGTGTAATGTCAATGACTTTGGTTGCCATCTCCTTGCTCATGTGTAATGTCAATGACTTTGGTTGCCATCTCCTTGCTCATGTGTAATGTCAATGACTTTGGTTGCCATCTTCTTGCTCATGTGTAATGTCAATGACTTTGGTTGCCATCTCCTTGCTCATGTGTAATGTCAATGACTTTGGTTGCCATCTTCTTGCTCGTGTGTAAAGTAAAGGACTTTGGTTGGCATCTTCTTGCTCGTGTGTAAAGTAAAGGACTTTGGTTGCCATCTTCTTGCTCGTGTGTAAAGTAAAGGACTTTGGTTGCCATCTTCTTGCTCGTGTGTAAAGTAAAGGACTTTGGTTGCCATCTTCTTGCTCGTGTGTAAAGTAAAGGACTTTGGTTGCCATCTTCTTGCTCGTATGTAAAGTAAAGGACTTTGGTTGCCATCTTCTTGCTCGTGTGTAAAGTAAAGGACTTTGGTTGCCATCTTCTTGCTCGTGTCTAAAGTAAAGGACTTTGGTTGGCATCTTCTTGCTCGTGTCTAAAGTAAAGGACTTTGGTTGGCATCTTCTTGCTCGTGTGTAAAGTAAAGGACTTTGGTTGGCATCTTCTTGCTCGTGTCTAAAGTCAAGGACTTTGGTTGGCATCTTCTTGCTCGTGTGTAAAGTAAAGGACTTTGGTTGGCATCTTCTTGCTCATGTGTAAAGTAAAGGACTTTGGTTGCCATCTTCTTGCTCGTGTGTAAAGTAAAGTACTTTGGTTGCCATCTTCTTGCTCGTGTCTAAAGTAAAGGACTTTGGTTGGCATCTTCTTGCTCGTGTGTAAAGTAAAGGACTTTGGTTGCCATCTTCTTGCTCGTGTGTAAAGTAAAGGACTTTGGTTGCCATCTTCTTGCTCGTGTGTAAAGTCAAGGACTTTGGTTGCCATCTTCTTGCTCGTGTGTAAAGTCAAGGACTTTGGTTGCCATCTTCTTGCTCGTGTCTAAAGTCAAGGACTTTGGTTGCCATCTTCTTGCTCGTGTGTAAAGTAAAGGACTTTGGTTGGCATCTTCTTGCTCGTGTGTAAAGTAAAGGACTTTGGTTGCCATCTTCTTGCTCGTGTGTAAAGTAAAGGACTTTGGTTGGCATCTTCTTGCTCGTGTGTAAAGTAAAGGACTTTGGTTGGCATCTTCTTGCTCGTGTGTAAAGTAAAGGACTTTGGTTGGCATCTTCTTGCTCATGTCTAAAGTCAAGGACTTTGGTTGCCATCTTCTTGCTCGTGTGTAAAGTAAAGGACTTTGGTTGGCATCTTCTTGCTCGTGTGTAAAGTAAAGGACTTTGGTTGGCATCTTCTTGCTCGTGTCTAAAGTAAAGGACTTTGGTTGGCATCTTCTTGCTCGTGTCTAAAGTCAAGGACTTTGGTTGCCATCTTCTTGCTCGTGTCTAAAGTAAAGGACTTTGGTTGGCATCTTCTTGCTCGTGTGTAAAGTAAAGGACTTTGGTTGGCATCTTCTTGCTCGTGTGTAAAGTAAAGGACTTTGGTTGGCATCTTCTTGCTCATGTCTAAAGTCAAGGACTTTGGTTGGCATCTTCTTGCTCGTGTGTAAAGTAAAGGACTTTGGTTGCCATCTTCTTGCTCGTGTGTAAAGTAAAGGACTTTGGTTGGCATCTTCTTGCTCGTGTGTAAAGTAAAGGACTTTGGTTGGCATCTTCTTGCTCGTGTGTAAAGTAAAGGACTTTGGTTGCCATCTTCTTGCTCGTGTCTAAAGTCAAGGACTTTGGTTGCCATCTTCTTGCTCGTGTGTAAAGTAAAGGACTTTGGTTGCCATCTTCTTGCTCGTGTCTAAAGTCAAGGACTTTGGTTGCCATCTTCTTGCTCGTGTGTAAAGTAAAGGACTTTGGTTGGCATCTTCTTGCTCGTGTGTAAAGTAAAGGACTTTGGTTGCCATCTTCTTGCTCGTGTGTAAAGTAAAGGACTTTGGTTGGCATCTTCTTGCTCGTGTGTAAAGTAAAGGACTTTGGTTGGCATCTTCTTGCTCGTGTGTAAAGTAAAGGACTTTGGTTGGCATCTTCTTGCTCATGTCTAAAGTCAAGGACTTTGGTTGCCATCTTCTTGCTCGTGTGTAAAGTAAAGGACTTTGGTTGGCATCTTCTTGCTCGTGTGTAAAGTAAAGGACTTTGGTTGGCATCTTCTTGCTCGTGTCTAAAGTAAAGGACTTTGGTTGGCATCTTCTTGCTCGTGTCTAAAGTCAAGGACTTTGGTTGGCATCTTCTTGCTCGTGTGTAAAGTAAAGGACTTTGGTTGCCATCTTCTTGCTCGTGTGTAAAGTAAAGGACTTTGGTTGGCATCTTCTTGCTCGTGTGTAAAGTAAAGGACTTTGGTTGGCATCTTCTTGCTCGTGTGTAAAGTAAAGGACTTTGGTTGCCATCTTCTTGCTCGTGTCTAAAGTCAAGGACTTTGGTTGGCATCTTCTTGCTCGTGTGTAAAGTAAAGGACTTTGGTTGCCATCTTCCTGTGTGCAGAAGAACTGCAACATTTGAGTTAATCAGCTTCTCATCCATCGTACACACGCAAGCGTGAGTTTCGACAAGTAACTGTTCACTGGCTGGATTTGCGGCTATTAAGGAGTTTGTAAGACAGAAGAGGGATGGAGGTGTAATCTTGAGGATTCACAGCTG